AGAAAACAATATTTTCTATTTTCGAGTGACGCGAATTGTCTTGTGTTAAATCATTGACCTGGATGAGAGTGTACACAGCAGTACACAGACAACTACTCCCCGTGCAGCCTTAACAGACTGTTGGGGCAAGCGCTGTTAGCGAGCAGCTATGAAGGCCGGAATAGCACACGAAGGCCGGAATAGCACACGAAGGCCGGCATAGCACATGAAGGCCGGCATAGCACACGAAGGCCGGAATAGCACACGAAGGCCTGAATAGCACACGAAGGCCGGCATAGCACACGAAGGCCTGAATAGCACACGAAGGCCGGAATAGCACACGAAGGCCTGAATAGCACACGAAGGCCGGCATAGCACACGAAGGCCTGAATAGCACACGAAGGCCGGCATAGCACACGAAGGCCGGAATAGCACACGAAGGCCGGAATAGCACACGAAGGCCGGCATAGCACATGAAGGCCTGAATAGCACACGAAGGCCGGCATAGCACATGAAGGCCTGAATAGCACACGAAGGCCGGCATAGCACACGAAGGCCTGAATAGCACACGAAGGCCGGTATAGCACACGAAGGCCTGAAAAGCACACGAAGGCCGGAATAGCACACGAAGGCCGGTATAGCACACGAAGGCCGGTATAGCACACGAAGGCCGGTATAGCACATGAAGGCCTGAATAGCACACGAAGGCCGGCATAGCACACGAAGGCCTGAATAGCACACGAAGGCCAGTATAGCACACGAAGGCCTGAATAGCACACGAAGGCCGGAATAGCACACGAAGGCCAGTATAGCACACGAAGGCCGGTATAGCACACGAAGGCCGGTATAGCACATGAAGGCCTGAATAGCACACGAAGGCCGGCATAGCACACGAAGGCCTGAATAGCACACGAAGGCCGGTATAGCACATGAAGGCCTGAATAGCACACGAAGGCCGGCATAGCACACGAAGGCCTGAATAGCAGACGAAGGCCGGAATAGCACACGAAGGCCGGAATAGCACACGAAGGCCGGCATAGCACACGAAGGCCTGAATAGCACACGAAGGCCGGCATAGCACATGAAGGCCTGAATAGCACACGAAGGCCGGCATAGCACACGAAGGCCTGAATAGCACACGAAGGCCGGCATAGCACACGAAGGCCTGAATAGCAGACGAAGGCCGGAATAGCACACGAAGGCCGGAATAGCACACGAAGGCCGGCATAGCACACGAAGGCCTGAATAGCACACGAAGGCCGGCATAGCACATGAAGGCCTGAATAGCACACGAAGGCCGGTATAGCACATGAAGGCCTGAATAGCACACGAAGGCCGGCATAGCACACGAAGGCCTGAATAGCACACGAAGGCCGGTATAGCACACGAAGGCCTGAATAGCACACGAAGGCCGGAATAGCACACGAAGGCCGGTATAGCACACGAAGGCCGGTATAGCACACGAAGGCCGGTATAGCACATGAAGGCCTGAATAGCACACGAAGGCCGGCATAGCACACGAAGGCCTGAATAGCACACGAAGGCCGGTATAGCACATGAAGGCCTGAATAGCACACGAAGGCCGGCATAGCACACGAAGGCCTGAATAGCAGACGAAGGCCGGAATAGCACACGAAGGCCGGAATAGCACACGAAGGCCGGCATAGCACACGAAGGCCTGAATAGCACACGAAGGCCGGCATAGCACATGAAGGCCTGAATAGCACACGAAGGCCGGCATAGCACACGAAGGCCTGAATAGCACACGAAGGCCGGTATAGCACACGAAGGCCTGAAAAGCACACGAAGGCCGGAATAGCACACGAAGGCCGGTATAGCACACGAAGGCCGGTATAGCACACGAAGGCCGGTATAGCACACGAAGGCCGGTATAGCACATGAAGGCCTGAATAGCACACGAAGGCCGTCATAGCACACGAAGGCCTGAATAGCACACGAAGGCCGGTATAGCACATGAAGGCCTGAATAGCACACGAAGGCCTGAATAGCACATGAAGGCCGGCATAGCAGACGAAGGCCGGAATAGCACGTGAAGGCCTGAATAGCACACGAAGGCCTGAATAGCACACGAAGGCCGGCATAGCACACGAAGGCCGGCATAGCACACGAAGGCCGGCATAGCACACGAAGGCCGGCATAGCACACGAAGGCCGGCATATCACGTGAAGGCCTGAATAGCACACGAAGGCCTGAATAGCACACGAAGGCCGGCATAGCACACGAAGGCCGGTATAGCAGACGAAGGCCGGCATATCACGTGAAGGCCTGAATAGCACACGAAGGCCGGCATAGCACGTGAAGGCCGGCATAGCACCTGAAGGGGGTAGGTGGCCAGCACCATGGGGCTGGCCCCCTCTGTCTACACACCGCACCAAGTACTCATTTGAGGCTGAGCCGTCCTAGAGGAGGCTCAGACACGGTTCAGATAATATACCGATGAAAATCAGCCCCAGTGTTGGCCGTGAACAGGAATCGAACTCGGGTGGCTGGGTTCATATCGCAGTGTGCGCTAACCCCTACACTACAGCAATACAGAGCGCCCCCCCCCCAGATGTTTAAAGACGGCTATTGTATGTCGTAGACCATTTTTGAGAGATGTTTTTGATTGTTTCATAATTAATCAGCACACATATTTACAACTTAACACTCTTAAAAAGACAATTATACATGCCGTCTGAAATGTATTGGTTGGCCTGGCACTCACTGTAACTGTGATGCAGGTGCACTGTATCCATACACAAAATAGTTTTGGCTCAGAGATGCCAGCTATTTCAACCTCAATAAAATTGGAATCCAAGTCTGTAGCTAGCCCCAAATAACATAATTTCCATGGCATGGCGAGGCTTCCTCCCAGTGCACCCATGGATTCAAATCATGTCAGCTTAGGACTGCTGTCCTACACGGAGGCAATTTAGGCACGAGGTTGGAGGGGCTGGGGGTTTGGTCTATAAGCCTGTCAGCTTAAAGCATGAAATTGAACACTCCATACAGGAAGACACCCATGGGAGCTTCAGTGGGTCCAACACTGCCCGCACTACTCCTCAAAAAAAATATTGTGCAAATAACCAAAGTAGAGATGCAGGGTATGTGCAGTTGCAGCTGCGGTGTCGTTAAGAGGTATTGGCGTGAGAGTTTTCTTCTCCAGCACCCAGCTCTGTCCTCTTTGAAATGTAAATTTTCAGGATTCTCATAGCCATGAGCTAAATTACATTATGAGTGTGGTGCAGAACGAGAACATCATAATACAGTGCCCAGTTGTTGAGGCCTGGATTTATCCATCCTGCTAGGCGCACAGTGGCACAGAGATTAGCTATCTGTGAGCCCCACAACAACACAGCTTCAAGGATGTCTTTCTGTTCACTATGATGATGTTGCTGGACCCAGAGCTGGGCCAAGACCCTCTCACGCTTTGGTTGTCTTGGAGAATTTCCAGTAGGCTGCTGTGATCTCCCAGAGTTCAGAAGAGGGTGGGCATTAGTAGACCCAAAGACATGGGGAGCATGAGGCCAAAAATATACACTTGGCATGAGGCCCAGAGTGATCTTTATTCAGACCTGCTGATTTTTAAAGCCGATTAGCCAAAGCAAATTAACTGAATTGTGTTCACAGGCTTTGAAATAGCATTTAGTGTTAATAGAGCTTGTTGTTAACATGTATATATATTAAAAAAGAACATCTTTGTATTATTGTATACTAATCCTGTCCCATGGTAACTTTAAAGAGCAGCCTTCCCACTAGTATAAATTTATGCCATGCTGTGTTTCAAGAGTAACCCCCCCCCTCCCCATAGCTTACAATTAAATAATGTCCACCATATGTGCACTGCAGTACAGTATATACCTATAATTGAGGACTGTTGAGAGATATAACTGAAATGACAGCTGTCACTGGCTCTTTCAGAAGCCTGACAGGGTTGAATGAGGGTCTACATTTACACAAAGGGTTGTCGGTAGGTGAGGGGTGGCGCATATATGGATTGGGGGGGTATGGGTGATCCTGTGGGGGTGCAGTGGGGGGTGAACTGCAGTGCCTCCCATGCTCTGCACTAGTCCCAGTGTGGGCTCTCTTGGCTTTAAACCAGCATGTAGGGTGGGGGGGGGGGGGAATCAATACTTCTTCCACATTTCTCTTTTGTTTAAATATCACTAACTTTATAGAGTACGGTATACATCGTTGTGTTGAGTGACGTGCGCTCTTGCGCATAACCTATATGCGGTAAATTCTATAACACATTTTTCCATTTTGCTTTAATCGTGTGCCATAAACCGGTCGTCGCAAACAATGTACTCCTGCGTGCTATTGAAATCTGAGAGGTTTTTTTTAAAGGACGACGACGACTTGCACTAATGTCCCGCGGAGGAAGCCGTGTCACTTCGCGGAGCCCTGCTCCGTAGCTGATAAAGCTGGCCCCGATGATAGCCTGCCAGTGTGCGCATGATAGGGCACAGTCAGCCGAGCTGTTAATGGAGACGAACGAGCGAGGTAGCATTTTCAGCTCATCGTTGTCATCTGATTTACAGCAACACCGGCGTGGCGATATGGAAACGCCTTTTTTTAAATGTTGTTCACGCTCCATCAAAACGCACGCAAGAGCTTTCCCCGCACTTGTTGATATATAATTAACGATTGCGTGTCAATTAAAGTTGTGGCGACGAGGGCGCGCCGCTGCTGACTACGGTGAACTGTGTTTGTGTGCAGCGATTTGGAGAAAATAACAGTGCAACCATTTTTTTGTTCCTGGGTAGTAAGTGTTATTTCCTAATTGCTTATGCCTCAAAAGTACAGAAAATGGCTATTATTCACCACAAACTTTGCTTCTGTGATCAGGACAGTGATATTTAGAAATTTACCTATTTTCCAGAACATTCCAGATAGATTCAGTGCTGAGTAAACTTGGAGTAACTTCTAGAACATTCTAGAAGTTTCCAGTAATATAGATAGTAGCATAAATACCGGGGCCTTAAGCCCACCAGTTCAGTTTAGTTCCAACTGCCTAAGTGGATACATATCTGCATTTTTCTGAGATGGTATCAAGAGGCTGCAAGCATCCAGCAGACGCATTTTGCTATGTCTGCGGCCAATTTATCAAGACAAGAGCTAAAAAATACTCTGTGGAAGCATCTGCTAAGATGTGTGAGGTCTATAAGGCATACTTCGGCATGTCTGTCGGGGATCAAGACAAACCTGGGCACCTCATTTCACCTGCAAGCAATGCAAAAAAACTCCGGAAGGTAAGATGGACAATTGTTGCTCGAAATTTTACGTGATTCAATTTGTTAAAAATTTTAGAATTATAAAAGTTTTTCATTTAAAAATGTTTTACAATTTTCAATGTTATTGAAAAAAGTATATCATATATGAAAAATTTGCGAGAATCTCTTACACATTAGTCATGGGTGAAATAAATGTATTTTTGTAGGATGGTACAGAGGGGAAAAGAGAGCTATGAAGTTCACTATCCAAAGAATTTGGTGGGACCCACTGACCACTCCAGCAACTGCTACTTCTGCATGGTGGACCCTTCCAAACGTCGGACTGGCAAGAATGCACCTGCTATCACGTATCCGGACATTCCTTCATCCACCGCCCCGGTGCCACACTGCCATGAGCTCCCCATACCCACTCCTCCGCCGGAGAGAGAGCAGCCGTCTTTAGAAAAGAGCAGCAAGTCAGAGAGCGAGGGAGACGTTGTAGATCCAGATTACAATTTCAGAGGTGGAGCTCAGGAGAGAAACCCATACTACCCCAACCAAGAAGACCTCAACGACGATCAGAGATCTTGGTCTCACCAAGTCCAATGCCGAGCTTTTGACGTCTAGGCTCAAGCAGTGGTTGGGCTCTGCTTCTGCCACAATGTGACCAATCTGTTTGAGGCAATCGGAATCGCCTGTAACCAGAATGAGTGGTGCTTCTTCATTGACAGCTCATCCAGGAGCCTCAAAGCCATGCTGCTCCATAATTGTAACAGGTACCCGTCTCTACCCCTGGCTCACTCGGTGCACCTCAAAGAGGATTACAACAGCATGAAGACCTTGCTGGATGCCTTGAAGTATGATGAGTATGGCTGGGAGGTCATCGGAAACTTCAAAATGGTGGCATTCCTGATGGGTCTCCAAGGCGGTTTTCCCAAGTTTCCCTGCTATCTTTGCCTTTGGGACAGCAGGGACACCAAGGCGCACAATCACAGGTAGAACTGGCCACAGCGGACCGAGTTTTCTGTGGGGAGGAACAACGTCAAGTGAGAGCCACTGGTGGACCCCCGGAAGGTGCTGATGCCACCACATCAAATTGGGCCTCATGAACAATTTGTCAGAGCTGTAGATAAGGAGTCGGCAGCCTTGAAGTATTCTTAACTAAGCTGCCTGAGGCAAAAGTCAAAGCCGGTGTTTTCGTCAGACCACTGATAAAGAAGATCCTGGAGTGCTATGAATTCCCCAAGAAGCTCACTAGAAAGGAGAAAACGGCTTGGAACAGCTTTGTCACAGTGGTTCGTCACTTCCTGGGCAATCACAAGGTCGAAAACTATGTGGAGCTGGTTGAGACTCTGGTAAAGAACTACAGCACAATGGGCTGTAGGATGTCCCTCAAAGTCCATATCCTTGATGCTCATCTTAATCAATTCAAGGAGAACATGGGAGCGTCCTCGGAGGAGCAAGGCGAGCGCTTCCACCAGGATATACTGGACTTTGAATGCCGCTACCAAGGACAGCATAACAAGAACATGATGGGAGACTACATTTGGAGGCTGATTCGTGAAAGTGATTTACAGTATAATCGTAAATCTCGAAAAACAACTCCTAAATCTTTTGTATTAATTTTTGTATGACTTTAGTATGAATACATGTAAATTTGCATTCATATGTTGTTTTTTCTGACTTAATGTGAACGAAAATACACAAATTCGCCCGTTTTCTCATTGAAAATAGGTGAATTTCCAAATACCACTGTCCTGGTCAAAAAAGCTAAGTTTGTGGGGAATAATAGCCATTTTCTATACCTGTTAGGCATAAGCAATTACGAAATAACACTTACTACCCAGGAACAAAAATTGTGTTACACAGTGTAATCACTGAGCACCTATTTAAATACAACATGTGGAGATGAATCCGTCAAGCGTTACGTGACAAATATATTAAATAAGTAACAAAATAAAATAGTTTTAGCAAACATGTTTTCACTTCACGCAAGTGTGAATAGTAATAGCACATGTTTTTTTATCACGTCAGGAAATATTGTTAGAAAGTTTTACTTTTTTAAAAAGGAAATATAAATTCAATGCAGTATTAATTATAATACTTAAATTACGATATATGAATTGAGACTTACAAAAATCGTTGGATTGAACCAAAGTCTGGTCATTCAGTGTTTACACATCTTTGTTTCCTGCTTACTTTAACCAAGTAATTAGCAAGTGCAGAATCCAGTGCATTTTTACGAAGGCAGGCAAATTGAGACAAAACTCAGCAGGCTTCGAGATCTTTTGACAGCGCTCATCACTTCACGTTTCACAACCCGGGGCTCTGGGGAGCTCAGCACATTACCCAGTCCAATTCTATCAGGCCATGCAGGCTGCCGAATGGTATAGCAACACATCTTCAGTGAACCTTCTAAGCTAATTGGAACTGGGTCAGGCAAATAGATTGTAAATGTATTCACCATATATTTGCGAGCATCAACATATTTTGCCTTATAATCACAGGTAATGGGAATTATTGTTGTCTGTTCATTAGCAATGGACAGAAATAATAAATGTAAAAGATGTTTCTATTCAAGTACACTTAATACATTCTCCTTCTATTAAAGCCAAAATTGCTCTTATTAGCGGATGTGCATGTCTACTCAAGGTTAATGTGAAATATTTTGAGTTTGTGGATGTTATCTTTTTTTTATATAATGGAAATAAGATAGGAGGAAATTTTAGTTTAATTGAGCACCACATGAAGAATATATTACAGCTGCACTAAAAAGGAGTTTTCTCACAATGAGCCTTGGGAAGTCTGCACGATGGACATATAATGGAAATTTGCGAATAGGTGTACAGTATATGAAATTACAATATTCTTGGTATTTTAAAGTTGTGCACACATTCAGAGACACACTCTCAATGTGGTGTGAAGCTCCCTTTATCACGAACAAATCTGGTCGGTTGTCATCTGAATGTGTTTTTGTTAGCATTCAGGCTTGTAGAGAGACAAACGCTAACACGATAAAATCCCCAAGTGGGTAATTAAAATGCCGCGAGACGGTTAAAAAACTTCACCTCATCTATAAAATGCGCTCAACAACAGCATCTCCATTAAAACATCCTAATTAGCATAGATAGCGAGCATATACAGTGAGAACAAAGTACACATCTATTTTGTTGAGATTGGTAATTTAATCCCGTGCAGCCAGGACAGGAGAACAAGCTGCTAAGGATGTAATGGCTCGAGTCACATAGCTTATTATTCACCCTCATTATTGATCAGGTGCATAATTAAATTCAGAAGCATATTTTTAGTCAATGCAAAAGGTGGCCTTTGAAAACAGGCACCTCTGTACCCGTGTACACATTCCGTCCGAGAGATTTGTCTTTGTCAGCAATGCAAACGGAAAATCTACGTATTATTCCACAAAATGTCCACATGTATATCATCATATTCATTTAATAACAAATTGTCCGTTAAGCAAATAATTTTCTGTGAATATTCTCACTTGCGTGGAGTGACATTTTTTTTCTTATTTTTGGATACAAATTACTATAGCAGAACTTACAGTATTCATATTGTACATTCATACATGTGAACTGGATGTTGACTACCATCGACCATGATCAATCCACTGCTGGATGAAGGCCGACCTCTTCACGAGTCTGCCATGCAGCAACCCATCCAGTCCCAGCACGTGAACTGATCTCATCGCTCCATCTTCTCAGTGGACGACTTCCCTCAACGCGTTCTATTCCTTCGTTGCCACTCCATTATTATTCTTGACCATCTTCCATGATCCCTTCCGGCGATGTTCCCTGCCCCCAAGCCCCCTTACTTTTCGTAACAGTATTGGCTGATGTCACTAAACCTACGTATATTCTACAATTCACACGTTCCGTTATCTCTTCGCGTAATTCCAAGCATGCATCTCTCCATGCGTATTTGCTCATTGATCCAATTGTTGATCTATATTTTTTCATGAACGACCATGTTTCTTAACGATGTAGTGGAGTAGTTTTCTTCAAGAGGCACCTATTTAGTTAAAATTTTTATTATTTCAGTCCGACTTCAACAGCTGTCTAAGATAGACAAATTCCGCTGTGCTTTCCAGCTGCATCCCTCCGACAAATATCTCCAAGTGTTGAGCGAACTAGTTGAACGTGACCTTTGTTCTGCTCATATTCATCCCGAGCCGAACTTTGCAGCCCTCAATCTTTATGAGCTTCTTCTATCATTTGCTGCAGTTCATTCCCGTTGAACGCAGTAATGATTGTGTCACCAGCAACATCTGAGATGGTTAATATTTGCTCCATTTATATGCACGCCCTTGTTTCTGAAATCCAATTTTCGTCTAATGTCGCGATGAATAACCTTGGCGAAAGTGGGTTAGCTTGTCTAACTCAATGTTTAGTATATGTCTTGCCTATGATGCATTGTTCGCAGCGATTGTTAAAATCCAAAGGGCGTCCTGTTCGTACCCAGTGATTCTTAACACCGATCCCTGCTCCTTCACTTGCCCAGCCAACACCATGGCTGGTGGATAGTGGATCCAGAGATGCTTGGGTGTGGGTGACGGAGTCTCCGCAAGTCGGTCGTGGAGGGGAAAGACAGGGTGGGAGGGTTTATTGGTTGACCATACTTCACCACGTTTGTCAATGCGGGTTGGTAAATATAACACATTTGTTTCCCCCCTTGATGAGTACCTAAATGGTTATGGGTGGCCCTATCCAATGTCTTCGATACTCCTCGGATATTCAGGACCTCCGATTAGCACGGTTGGCTACGTACGGTGCGAAAGAAGTAAAACAACACAAGACACACAAGCCCCGTCGCTCAGTCCAAGGCAGTGGAGTGTTCTGTCAAAAACTGGACATCAGGTGCAATATTTTCAGAGCAAAAACCATCAACAGCCTTCAAAATAATAAATTGTCTGTGCTAAGTCTGCCACCTGCCGGCCAATGTTATGGTACAGGGAACTCAAGCGCACTTGGATTTGCGGATTACACGTCTCAAATAATTATACGGTAATCAAAAGTACATGTCTTAAAGGACAGCCATGACACATGGTATATGATGCAGATAAAATATATCCTCTAAATTCTAAACTTGAATTATAATTAAAAGCAGCATTGTCATATAACCTTAAACATAAATGTGAGCAATGACTAATTACGTAAGCTAAACAAGCGTGCGGAATTACTATTGAGCGTGATGAATAATGGTGACGTATTAAGGAAACATGCAGGAAACAATTCATTTATTGGGATACTCTTAGGTTTTTTCGGTAAAGCTTGTGTTGCCTCCGAAACGTCGTGATTTATTATTTTATTTATATTATTTTAGTATTATTTATTTTTTACCTACGTGACTTTACCGAAAAAAACCTAAGAGTATTAATTCTTGCAGTCACGAAAGCTTCAAATCTAGAATTTATTGGGATGTTAAAATCACAGTCGGTGTAACGGTCAGCTCGCTGGACTTGCCATGCGGAGTTTCGCCGGTTTAATTCCAGCAGCTGGCACAATGGAACAAGTTTATTAAATCCCCACGCTTCTGTCCATCACAGTCGATCGGGAGATCGTGTGTGGTGGGGATAAAGTGTGGGTATGCCCACCACTTCCAAGGCGTTTGGTCAGTGTGAAATAGTAGACCAAATACCCTCTGTAGATCCCACTAGTGGATGCCCCCCCCCCCCCAGCAGACAAACACAGTAGGAGTGCACCTTTTGCATTCAACTGAGACTCGAGGGGAAAATGTACTTAGGCAGCCGTGCGGTTTGTACGTTGGCACGTGTCAATGAGTGAATTCATGAATAACATTCCAGCGGAAGCGGTAACCTATTCTGAAAACGGTTACCGTTTTACCGGTTGTCTTTTAACAACCGTAGTCATGAATACTGTTGCGTAGTGTGGGCTGCTTTTGTCGCAAATGCCCTCTCCTGGTCAACTTTTATCGCCTGCTTATATAACAATGTGTAACAAACAAAATTGTTCCTGGGTAGTATTATTTCCTTATTGCTTATGCCTCAGAAGTACAGAAAATGGCTATTATTCCCCACAAACTTTGCTTTTGTGACCAGGACATTGATATTTTGAAATTTACCTGTTTTCAATGAGAAAACGTGTGCATTTCTGTCATTCCTTCACATAATTGTGTTACATAGTGTAATCAGCAACGCATTCAATATTATACAATTGGTCATGATGACGACCTGAATATATGTATGTTGAACTTCTTTCGCACCACACATAGCCAACCGGAGCTTATAGTAGGTGCTAGAATGCCATGCTTTGGTAGAATGTTTTACTCAACTGAAGCCACGGAATTAAACACATGGGCAGGCGTGCAGTACAAGGGAACACCTCATTGCTCACGGGAAGAGAGTTTCAGAACATTGGTGTGATCCACCAATGCTCGCATGCACACTGCTCTATCAATAGAGTGCGAGTATGTTGCAAAATGTGCGTGTCTACTAGTGCAGAGTAATTCACCCATCGTGGTCAGTTCATGACACTCAAGTGCCATATGCAAGGCTGGCCTATGGATAACGAAATGACCACGATGTGCATTGGCAGACACGAGCAGAGCACTCATATGCCCACGACTGGGCCTAACGTCCTGATTAACTAAGCATGAGCTGCGCTTGCGTTCAACACCACCAAGCTACAATCCATAACCCTGACTCACCACTTCCACCATAAGCCAGGCACTAGCATTGTCCACATAAACCATCCAATTCACCTTGCCTTCTCCTGTCATATCCAACTCTCCCCAGTCCCTCATGTCTTGTTCCCAGTCAGACAGTTCTTCACTCCTGCAGTGTACTCTACGCACGCTGTAATACCGTACATCAGAAACGATAATCATACATCTCGACCTCCTCCCCAGCTGCTCTCATAGATATGTCTCTCATTTCCCGAGGCTCCATGATCAAGTTTTCCTTACAACAGCTTTGACTCCACATCAAAGCCACATCTAAGACCCATCATCCACCACCGGCTCTGATTCCTCTGCAACACCCCAGTAAGAAAACTGCGTGCAATGAATGACACCTATGAGACTGGGCAAAGAACCCCGGGCCCGGCCAGGACACGCTGGCGGGACGATGTCGCTCAGCTGGCCTGGGGACACCTGGGAATTCCCCAAGAAGAGCTGGAGTCTGTGTATAGTAGTGTAGTGTATAGTAGTGTAGTGTATAATAGTGTATAGTAGTGCAGTAGTGCTGGAGTCTGTCGCCAGGGAAAGGGAGGTCTGGACCGCCACGACTCAACATGCTGCCGCCGCGACCCTCGAGAGAACAAGCGGATTGAGAAACGAACGAACGAACGCACCTGTGATACTGTCCATATATGAATCTACGCTGTCATCATCTGGTGAGTTACCATTCAGAAAGACTGCTCGGATGTAGCAGAGCACAAGTTTATGTGGGTTACATCGTGCAATAATGAGAAAAGGGGGTCAATTCCAGGGATATATGCTTTTTTTTGCTCTAGAGATCGACATAAAAGCCCTTTACTAATGTAACATGTGGCTATTATGTGATATGGTTTCATCTTTCTCCTTAAGGGCTACCATTTGTGAATTGCCCGTCATAAACCTTCTTACTGCCTTTAAACTTTCATTCAATGGCGGAGCCAGGATTTTCAGGTAGGGGGCAACCCCTCCAGCAATGACAAATTATAGGTGTTAGTAAGTAAGGACTTGTTCGTAGCATCAAGTTCACCAACCACTTCAGCTACCTAGGTGTCATCCTAGATTCAACTTTATCCTTCGACCGTCAAACCAACCATATCATCAGCTCATGTAACTTTCACCTGAAGGCTCTTAGACACATACGTCCTCTCATCTCTACTGAAATTGCCAACACTTTGGCATGTTGCATAGTTGGGTCTCGCCTTGACTATTGTAACTCCGTCCTTGTCCGGACCTCCGCTGGCAACCTAAAGAAGCTTCAAAGACTACAAAATAACCTAGCACGCGTCGTCATTGCCCACACTCATCCCCGCCTCGACTCACTAGCTCGTCTCCGCGCTCTCAACTGGCTACCCATTGCCAGTAGGGTCACATACAAGACCGCCTGCCTCTGCCACAATGCCTTCATATCCGCCTGCCCGCCGTATCTTTCTTCATTATTGACAACTTGCAGCTCAGCACACGGCAGATGCCTGCGCAGCGCGACTCACGACCTCCTCTCAATACCAAGATCCAGGATGGTCATGTCTACGCGCCGCTTCTCGGTGGCAGCCCCAACAGTCTGGAACGATATCCCTCTGCACATTCGCAGCATCACCTCAATCGCCTCCTTCAAGAGACACTTAAAAACTCACCTCTACAATCATGCTTTTGAGCGACTCTGAGCTTGGCTCCGCGCCTCTGAGTTGCGGCCACTACGTCTGCAAATTTGCGCGCGTTACAAATTGTACTATTATTACTATTATTAAGGACTTGTCCCTTGCTTTTTATTCGACGCGTGTGCGGCGATGGCGCAGCCATCGATCGAGGGTCTAATTTGAACCGCGTTGTGTGATCGACATCGCGCTCGCTGAAGGTGAATGCCTTCAGGGAAGTCGTGTCCTGTATACACAACTGCGCACAATTCTGTGAGTCACTTATAATTTATTTGCCGTTACTTATTGCCAATTATGGACTCAGACTATTGTCCTATCATCTCATAGAGTCCCTGGCACATAATAATATGCTACACAGTGGCAGTGGGGATCGCAAAATCCCGATTTATTACTAATAAACCCCAATGATCCGATCGAAATTAGGGATTTCGATCGGATCATTGGGGGGCACGTGCCACCCCACCCCCCACTGGCTCCGCCAGTGCTTTCATTGCTAATGATGACACCCTCAATCACGTTTTGGTTGTACTCTCTGACTCTCATTCTTTTCATAATTGTTCCGTGTATTCAATGTACTGTTTTCAGATGAACATAAGGACATTCCAGATGTCATAGTTAAAAATGAAACAGTTTGCTGCACATGTTGAAATGTTTGGCTGTGAACACCATCAAAGAGTGGAACCATTTTAGAACAAAAGTAGTAGCTCTGTTCCATAAATATTTTCACAGAAATGGAAAATCTCAATCATGGAATTATGTGGCGATAATTCTACATATAAAATATGGTGATAAAACTGACTCGGAGATATACGGATCTCGTAGCCTCTTCTTGCATGCATAGACATTGTTTATGAAGATGACTGGGAACAGAATAATGGTGAGGTAGAGATAATCGAATCAAAACAGCAAGCTGGGAGTAAGAAAGATCGCTCTACCATTTACTTCGTGGATATTTTCTTTAAAATACTAGTGAATAGTCTTTGTGGTCTTTGAAAAGGCATTTTACTCAGTAGAAATGTATGCAGTCATTTAAGTTCTGAATTAAAAAAAAATCAGGCCTAAATAGAAAAATATCTTTTAAAAATCATTGACTTTCATTATAAAATAAAAGTTCAAACTTTTCATGAGAAAAGGGTTCAGAAAATGAGACGTGCTTTTTCCGAAGTTATTCACAGCAACATCAAAATATATGTTCTTCTGATCATTGGGTTTAAGAAATATAGCCAAACAAATTTGAGAAAATATGAACATCTGATATTTTCTGATCACAGAAATTTTAAGAGATGGAAATCGACTGCAGCATAACATTGAATAATTTAAAAGAGAAGTCTGCAAATATGGATAAAAAACTAAAGTCATACGGTGAATGATTTATTGAATTTAAAAGGCAGATGAGAGTTGATGGATCTTGTTTGGAAATGAACTTAATAACGAAAAGAAATACACCAATGTTTGAAAATAAGAACGTTTCCAAACAGTGTATATTACCTGCTCTGCCACGTATGACACAAAATAGAATAAAGGCTGATAGGTGCACACTGAGAGAGACAGAGAGATGGAAACTTGGATTAGAGAACATATGCACGTTAGAGACAACCATATTAACCGTAGGAAAAGTAACTGCGTTTTTGGTAGAGGGGATAGTGGCAGCCAAAGGTGGGAACATGCACGCTGTGAAGAATCCACCACGGAAACGGGGTGATAAGAAGAGCTCGTGTAAGTACGTTCGGTGGATTGTTGCATTGTGAGACCATGAGAGATGGTGATCGTTTGTGGAGGCATTGATTAAGCAGTGGATAGATCATGGCTGGTGATTATAATTGATAATGATAAACAAGAAAGACAGACATTTCTGACAAACACTCCTACAGCGTGTACTGCATATATAAAAAACTTACTTTTATCAGGTTAGGCCCACTGAGCTTTACAGCTCTTTTTCAGAATCGACCTGGCCACAAATGATAGCTCAACGAAGTGGCTTATTACGTGGAAATTTCCAGCAGCCAAATACTCTAAACGCATGTTTCTAAATGTGGAGGAAAAAAATACAGTCGTCAGGATCGGGATCGAACCCACGATCTCCTGTATGTCAGGCTAGGTGATTAACATCTCGCCACTGTGGCACCCCTATGTCGTGTGGATTTAGATAATGAGAATAAGAATGTATCTCATTAAGCACAAAAAGGTCAGGAAACAGGTAAGACACAAACATTATCATTTGCACAGGTTGTACAAAGCACACCCTGTTTCTGTACGCACGGGGAACAACTAATACAAGACAATCAGCCTCAGCACGTTTAGGCAGTGATCAAATAGACGAGCAGCCAAGTCAGAAATGTACTCCAAAAATTCAAAACAATCTATCTTTAAAACTAAAAACACACATTGGTTTCCATCAGAAATAGTCATCATCAAGGTGTTATTATTTTTCTTCTCCTCCAACATCAACATTAGTCATGCTGGCAAGTGACCGCATGAAGTGAAGTCAAAGTAATTTACTCACCGCTGATTCCACGGGGTCCATTGTGACACAAGCTGATGCCAGTAGCTGACCTGCCCTCTGGTGACCAGTTCATTACCCTTCCGCACCACGGCAATGTACCAAACGCGACCTTCAGCTGCTGTACAAAGTCTCTCCGTACATAGCCCCGTGATTATTTTTTCCACTGTTAACAAACGGTGACAGGCCATTTCGTCTCGCCACAATGCAGCCCTTGCAAAGCGGACTCCCCTTCAGCCACGTGTGACCTCCTCCTCCACACTCGTGCAGCTCCTTCCACCAACACTTTCTGCCTCTAACTGCCTTTAAAACAAGCTCTCCACGTCGACCACTCCACCTCCGTCACTCCACTACCCCACCACTCCAAGCTGCCTCCACGCAGCAGCTGACCGCCACTTCAAAGCACCTCGCTGCCTCTTAAGCGGACCTCTTTGCTTGTCATCTCGATAGCCTCTCCCTGGCGTCATCCCAGAGCCACGCTGCACGACTGACCAGCTCTTTCGCAAGCCCCCAGTTCATCGTGCTAAACGTTTTGACCATTTGGACTGTCGTAGGACATAGGCAAGCAGGAATATAACTGGCGGTGGTGGCTCTGCGCGCCTTTGATCATCCAGTGCCGTGGAGGCGAGGTTTGGTGGGTCACACAGAATTGGATGTCGAGGTGCCATAACCCTGGCTTGCCAGGAGAAGGCGGCACAGCAAATGTGGACTCACAACTGTTGTTGTCTGTATGGGCTAAAGTGTTTGACCCGAGTACGCGTGGTTCTTTCATCCGGTTTCCTCCCACAAGCAAACAATTCATTAATCGACCGAAAACACCTTAATACATCGAGGACCGCAGAGCTTTGGTTTGTATTTGGGCGCCCCGCTCACCAACGTGATTGCCTTTCCGCTTGTTTGCGCCTCCGACTCGTTTTGTCTCCACGAGAGTGAACGAAAACTGTGCGCGTTACGAGTTGAACACGTGGATGCGCGCGTGTGCACGTTGCATTTAATCCGTGTGAGTGTGCACACCACACACCGTGACAGTGGTCATGGATTGCGCGCGCGTTGTGTACGCCTAACATACGCGACTCGTCGTGCCATCATTGCAGTTGACGTACAAGTCCATATGTTCACGTGGTGCTTCGTGTGCAATCACCCGTTCATACACGGGTGGCATCTAAATACCGCATCATCCGGATTTTGAGAGGCTCCGAAAAGACGCACCCCAAACCTGTGCCATGTGTCAATAACATTAAACAAATATCAACAACAACACGGCCATTCGCCACGAAGTGGCGCTTGTGCCAGGCTATGTGCACTTTAAACAAAATGTGATCAAACACACACCGTTTAACACGTAGGCTTTCGCGACCAATGTTATTCATAATCAACGATTTTTGGGTTTAGATCGCGTTTATTTATAAATGTGTCGTAACCCTCCACCACCCGACACGGCCAATCAGTAAAAAATGTGTCACGTTGACAAAGACAAATAGTTCACTGCTTTAGCCCACCGGTGTGTTGAAGCAACAACATTCACAATTTGAGTACGACGTTTCGCTGGTAATTACAACCAGCATCATCGGGCAATTCGCCAGAATGGTGAGGCTCTCCTGTGTCTCCCGTTGTTATATAGAGCAGCAGCAGGATGACGTCATCATTAACTCATTAACTCATCAGGTGCAAAGATTCAAGGGGGGAGTGATTGTAATTATATACTAGATTAGTAATCAGGCTATTGTTACGATGCGAGTTGTAGATTAGTAATCATTTGGAATGTGTTTTATTGTGATTATGCTACATTAGTAATCAGTTAGTGGTTGTTTCCCTTATAAGTAATTGTAATGTATCTTATTTAATAATACGCTTCCAGGCCGCACTAAGCCTGTAGCTGTCTGAGCGATTAAAGTTATTTCTGTTTCTCTCAATTTCAATCGATTCTCTAATTAGTCTTTGCCAGTAGTAGCTAGTTTTACACAACACTTCCACGTTGTCAAAATCAATTGAGTGCCCCTGTTGGCATGCATGTTCTGCTACTGCCGACAGTTGTGTTTGTGATAGTTTAATATTTCTCTGGTGTTCTTTTAGTCTTACACTAACGTTACGCCCTGTCTGTCCAATATAGCATCTGCCACATACACAATTAATCCGATATACACCTTCTGTTGATAATTTAGGTAATTCGTCTTTAGTGCACGTTACTAGTTGTTGAATTTTGTGTACTGTACCAAATCTTACTGTAATGTTTGGCTTTTGCAAAACACGGGCTAATTTATCAGTTACTCCTGAGATAAATGGTATTTTTATTGTTTTAATAATCTGATCGCTTTCAGCAACACTGCTGAAAGCGATCAGATTATTAAAACAATAAAAATACCATTTATCTCAGGAGTAACTGATAAATTAGCCCGTGTTTTGCAAAAGCAAAACATTACAGTAAGATTTGGTACAGTACACAAAATTCAACAACTAGTAACGTGCACTAAAGACGAATTACCAGCAACACTGCTGAAAGCGATCAGATTATTAAAACAATAAAAATACCATTTATCTCAGGAGTAACTGATAAATTAGCCCGTGTTTTGCAAAAGCCAAACATTACAGTAAGATTTGGTACAGTACACAAAATTCAACAACTAGTAACGTGCACTAAAGACGAATTACCTAAATTATCAACAGAAGGTGTATATCGGATTAATTGTGTATGTGGCAGATGCTATATTGGACAGACAGGGCGTAACGTTAGTGTAAGACTAAAAGAACACCAGAGAAATATTAAACTATCACAAACACAACTGTCGGCAGTAGCAGAACATGCATGCCAACAGGGGCACTCAATTGATTTTGACAACGTGGAAGTGTTGTGTAAAACTAGTTACTACTGGCAAAGACTAATTAGAGAATCGATTGAAATTGAGAGAAACAGAAATAACTTTAATCGCTCAGACAGCTACAGGCTTAGTGCGGCCTGGAAGCGTATTATTAAATAAGATACATTACAATTACTTATAAGGGAAACAACCACTAACTGATTACTAATGTAGCATAATCACAATAAAACACATTCCAAATGATTACTAATCTACAACTCGCATCGTAACAATAGCCTGATTACTAATCTAGTATATAATTACAATCACTCCCCCCTTGAATCTTTGCACCTGATGAGTTAATGATGACGTCATCCTGCTGCTGCTCTATATAACAACGGGAGACACAGGAGAGCCTCACCATTCTGGCGAATTGCCCGATGATGCTGGTTGTAATTACCAGCGAAACGGCGTACTCAAATTGTGAATGTTGTTGCTTCAACACACCGGTGGGCTAAAGCAGTGAACTATTTGTCTTTGTCAACGTGACACATTTTTTACTGATTGGCCGTGTCGGGTGGTGGAGGGTTACGACACATTTATAAATAAACGCGATCTAAACCCAAAAATCGTTGATTTTGAAACACACACCGGTCGGATTATAAGACGCAACCCCCAACTTTTGCGTTCAAATACAGGGAACAAAAAAAGATGCCGTCATATAATCCGGGGAATACGTTGACTGTGGCATCACCATAATTAAAACAAAATTATCGAACTAAAATATATATCAATTTTGTTTCAGTATCCTAGCATTTCCCCGATATTATCTCAGCGTGATCTATACAGCCTCCTCCTCCGAGGCACCACGACTCCCCAACCCACCCCCAACCCTCTTCCACCCCCGCCACCTACGCGTGGTCTCTTCCGAAGTCTTTTAAAGCTCCGTGACATGGAAGAGCTGCCACAATCAAAACCAGCGGCACCGGGACGAGTCACGCGCGCCACTGCACCCCCCCTCCTCCTCCTCCTCCGCTTTGGCCAGAGCTTCTCTCTCCATCTCTCTCCTCCAGCTCATCCAGCGTGAGTGAAGACGCGTTGCTCCTCAATGCGCTCGAGGACGCAGTGAGCAAGAGAGTTCACCGAGAACTCTCTCTCTCTCTCTCGCTTGCGTGGTGTGCGTGGAGCTCGCTGCTTGGCGCCTGTTGGGAGGCGAAGGGGTGCCCCTCTGCAGCGTCGTGCGGCGAAGATGAACGTGAGCGCAGTGCTCAGGGCTGCCCTGAGCATCAACCAGAGCAGCGGCGTCCAGACGTCCAGCTGCTGCGACCGGGCACTGGTGGTGGTGTCCGACGACACGTGGCCTGGATCCTCGTCTGCCGAGCTGGAGGAGCGCAGCCTCTACATCACGCGCGTCGTGCAGATCGCCGTCATGTGCGTGCTCTCCATCACCGTGGTGTTCGGCATCTTCTTCCTGGGCTGCAACCTCCTTATAAAGTCCGAGAGTATGCTCAACCTCCTGGTCAAGGAGCGGAGACCTTCCAAAGAGGTGGAGGCGATCGTGATCGGAAGCATGTGAGGAAGTGCGGGAGAGACGCTTCACTTTCCCCGTGTCCCACCACCCCAGGCTGAGGACCAAATCTCAGCCGCTCGTGGATATGGAAGAGCGTTTGGCCATTGGACACTTGATATGGAACTGCGTCTGCGCCGACTGGAACTGTGGTTTACACTCTCGTGGGTATTCAAGAACGAGAAATGGTGGGGACATGCTCACACACGTTTTTTTTTATTGTTCGATGTAATGTAATGTGTAAAATTATCCTGCCTTGGCGAAATATACAACACCTGTGCTGCATTTTCAAAAAGGACGTAACGAGTATACGAATTTAATTCATGTGATGCCTAAATCAGGATCACCGACAATTAAAACCTTAAATTATGTTTAATTCGTCAGTGCCGTTTTCCTCTCCAAAGTAAATCGCTGTCGTGCTACTACCGTGTACTTACTTGCGTTACTTATGATTGATTATTTTGAGAAAGTATACATGTTCGGTCGTGAGCGGTACAAAGGTCATGACAATTAAAACAAAGTTGTTGTACATATTCAGAGATTTCGATTTAAAGCTTTCGTGATTGCAGGGATTCATCTTCTTGGTTCTTTCGGTAAAGTCACGTAGAAGGGAAGTAATAAAATAATAAAAATAAAACAAAATAAAATAATTCTCACGACGGTGAGGACGGCTGCTTGCGTTGTGGCCGAAACGTCGTGAGAATTATTTTATTATGTTTTATTTTTATTATTTTATTACTTCCCTTCTACGTGACTTTACCGAAAGAACCAAGAAGATATTCAAAGATCGTTAATCTGATTTCTGGCGTGACCTCGCCCATCAAACGGGTGCTTGTACCTGTTTGATGGCCGAGTGCGCTGCGCGATCCTCAATTATCCTCTGCAGGGCGATCCATTCGTAGACACACCGTGGATTTCTCATGACCACGTTTCAACCCAACAGGTGATCAAATAACGCAAAGACGATAGCTCCATGTCTCACAGAGGAGAGTGTTCAAGTATGTAGCACGTGAACTATATTGATGTTGGTGATGAACATGCAGAGAACAGTAACACAAACGTTGCCTATTATATATAGATTTTCTCTCCTTTGAATGCAGTGTTATTAACAAGCGTGTTGGGCATTTTAAAATGATTATCTGTGGTTGCGCACCGTGGCGAAAGCTGTATCGCTATCTTAAACTGTAATTTCCTTTAAAATATTTTCCCATATATATTTACAAGTAGGATATCTATAAATGGACCACCCTATAGTTGTTTGAACCCAGTGAAACTTTTCATTCGGAGATTGGTTTAGCATTGAGGTAATGTCTTATTCGTATGGACTATTAACCGTGTTTATACGAGGAAGGGACACTATATATTGGTCGCAATGTTAAACATGTTTACGGTACTTTAATTCAATGATTAAACGGCAGCGTGTACGATTTCAAATGCAGTGTATTTGGTATTCATTGCTGTACGATTATAAAGTATACAGTATATCGTGTCTTCTAGACTTTAAGCTTTCGTGACTGCAAGGATTCATATTCTTAGGTTTTTTTCGGTAAAGTCACGTAGGTAAAAATGTAATAAAAGTAAAATAAAAATAAAATAAAAATCACGACGTTTCGGAGGCAACACAAGCTTCCGTCTTCAGGTGGAACCGTCACAGCACGATTGCTGTATCAAGGTACAGCAATCGTGCTGTGAAACGTCGTGATTTTTATTTTATTTTTATTTTACTTTTATTAAAAAAAATTTTACCTACGTGACTTTCCCGAAAAAAACCTAAGACTATATATCGTGTCTGTTTTACGTGGGAGGGTAGAGCGGTGGTGGTGCGGTGGTTAACTCATTACGCTCCATGAACCCCGGCCACCGCAGTTGGATTCCTGGCCACGGCTCACGGGCATCAGTGGCGAGTGATTACTATCTAAACGAGTCCTTCCCAGGCGTCCTCCTTCGCCAACCCGCACTGACCAGCGTGGTGAAGTATGGTCAAACGACCCCCAAAAGCGTCATCAACTCGTGGATTGAGAATGGCTATAATGTATTTGTCCTGTGTCTCTATATTCTGCGTGTGGCGTGCATCCTTGTTGGGCAAATCCGTGAAACTTGTATGAATGCAGACGACTTATTTCAGTGTATACTTTTAGCCCACTTGTTAATTAAATGTAGTAAAAAATAAATAAACCTTTCACAACGCTGTCATTTCATACCTCTTCATTAACGGCGGATGCTATTATTTTTGGTACTGGGTAACAGCGCAGCGCAATTGCGTCATTCAGTATCGAGCTGTGAGTATACGTGTTCAACTACAGCCCTGTTCATCCACTGCTGGATGAGGATTCTCCATACGCCGTGCGGGTCACAGGTCGTATGGCCATACTTCACCATGCTGGTCAGTGCCGGTTGGTGAAGGAAGGCGGGAGAGCATGGACGTTGGACCACAGTATGGTACAACGCTGTCCCGACACCAGCACATGAGTCCGAATTTATGCATGGAGGTTGCCCATCCAATCGCTTTCCAGGCCCACACATGCTTAGCTGTCGAGATCTGACGAGATCGATCGTATTGCGGCAGAGGCGGTGCAGTGCTAACGCTTGCGCATCACGACAAGCAGATCATGGGTTCGATTCCTGACTCGGGTGCCTTTTCTGTGTGGAGTTTGCATGCTATACCCCGATTTTAGATGGATTTACTCAGGGTTTCGATTTAAAGCTTTCGTGACTGCAGGGATTCATCTTCTTGATTATTTCGGTAAAGTCACGTAGAAGGGAAGTAATACAATTATAAAAATAAAACATAAAATAGTTCTCACGACGTTTCGGCCACAACGCAAGCAGCCGTCATTACTTCCCTTCTACGTGACTTTACCGAAAGAACCAAAAATATTACTCTGGGTTCTCGAGTTTTCCCCCCATAGTTGAAAAAAAAAAGAACGTTCAATGTAATTGGTGTTGGTCAAGCATCCCATTGCTGCCATATTACCAACAAACTACTCAATTGGGATTAGACACAGCAACTTCGCTCCTTACTGAAAAACACTTGGCAGGGCCCACCCGAAATGGTGCCACAAGCCATGATGGCCGTTCCACACGCTTTGACAAGCAGGGTTCTGCACAGCTTATTACGACTGATACCACGTAGCGCGGCACGCGCGGGAAAACATTACAGGGAGATGTTAGAAAATGTAAGCGAGAGATGCCATGGAGAGATGTAATAATATAATCCAGCTAATGGGGAAACCCGTCGAGATCACACAAATAAGTGTACAAAAAGCACTCGACGTCTGAGCATTATGCAAGAACAATAATAAATACTGAGTGGTGTTCACACCTGTCTGTGTGTTATTTGAAACTTGTGTTATGAAGATGGGTTTTTATGGTCATTTAAAGATTTGATTGACCATTAAGATTCAAGGGTAAAACAACAATTACAATGAATGAACTTGATCAATCATACCCGTTAAACAAAACAATAATAATTATAGCCTTATAATGAGAATAACACAAGTATACAATGTTTTGGCGCAGTGATGCTGAGAAGTAGGTTCGTGCGAACAGCGCCTGGACCTTTGCGCCAAAAAAAATATCGATCCAAAGGTGAAACAAAATAATGTTTTCCATATTTACGACAATTTCAATTGATAGCTCACTCACTGAAATCCGTGGCGCATTCAAAGAGGAGGTATTGAAACAAACATTTACACGGATTAATCCGTTTATCTAAAAAGTACTGAATCACACAGCAGGAAAGCCTTGCTTGTGTCTCAAGGGTCTTCAGGATGGTCCTGTTTCTTTTAGATGTTTGGCCGATATCATTAATGTTTGGAGATCTTAGCGGGAAGATGTACGGGGAATTGCCTGAGAGATGTATGATGATGTGCTATTAGAATATACCAAAAAGATCACTGAGGTTTTTGTAAAATGAACCACTGAAGATATCCGAGAAGATGTGCGCAGGGGATACAGGAGGTGCTTGACAGCACGATATGTTCAAGTAGGTTGGTGACATACTTCAGTATATCTGTGCAAAACGTTGCCTTGTAATCCCTTCATGTGTGCGGGTTTCTCTCGGTACCCCAGTGTCTTTCCAAAGGCAGAGAAGCGCTTGATAAACAATTGAAAAAACATCCCAAAGCGGTAAACTTTCAAAAGAGAGTCTCTAAGCTTGGGGGGGTCTAACATATTTCTTAAGGTCTAATACGCATAGTCCAAAATATACTGTGGATAATTCTACATTTGAAGCTTTCGTGACTGCAAGGAATCGTACTCTTTGGGTTTATTTATTTTTCGGATTCTATTTATTTATTTATTTTTGCCTACGTGACTTTACCGAAAAAAAAAACAAAGAGTATACTGTGGATAAATATGTTATAATATATATTATAGTAGAAGATATAACCAGGATGGAAGATGGAAGATGCTTTTGGGAAAAGCTGCAAGCGGCTTCGGCCCCATGCCTCTCGGGACTGAGGGCAAATCCAAGCTGATGAGTTGAAAGAGCCAAGGGCATTTGCCGGTATATCTTTCGTTTGAACAATCATTCGATGCAATTATTTTCAGTCTTCAGTATTAAGTCTGGAATGTATGATATAACTATTATTGTGATTTGAAAAATGTTGCCACAAAGTACGGCAAAAGAAAAAAATGCGAAAAAGGATGATCTTAGATGAACGCATTCTGTTGATTAGTTGTTTTACATTGAGATTACCCTTAAACTTCACACATTTGACTCTATATATAAACGTGTGATCTAACAGCCACACGCTGAGCGAAGATTTAAAAAGTCAAATATTAGCAAATCTGGGATGCTGCCATTAAGCAATTGTTATCACACGTGACCTTCAACCCAGAGGTCGCCCAGTGGAGCAATGAAAGCGTGGACAAGTTAAATCCTTGCGTCGTTACTTTATTTAACTCATTGCTTTTGCCATTTTTGTGATTTAGCTCACTCTTGCAAACGAACCTTATCCTGGTCTCTTGAGTTATTACCTGGTTAAGCAAATAAACTTTAAATAGTCAACGTCATTGGTGACTTGGAAGGGCACTTGAGCCGCACTCATTGTGTTGATGTAAGTGGTTTGATGCCAGTCATGCATGACACGAACATGATTAATTCGGCAATTTTACCGAAAGTTCAGCTAATGTAGGTTGTGGGGGTCAATTGCCATAACATATGAACAGATGTCATGCCAGTTCATTATAGTTGTGTTAATGTACAGTACTGTAGTCGCATATTAAATGAAGGCAAAGATGACCTTGTTGGTCTGATGAAGAGGAAGGCCATTATGTATTTATATCTGAAAGGCTGAATGTCTGTCAATTTAACAATACTGATAATATTCTTTCTATATGACTTTACAGATAATTGTGACTAAAAATGTAATTCGGTCCGAAAACCGAACGTGATTCGTTTTTTTTATGAGCTCAACTGTGCTGTAATTACAAATATTGTGGGATTCCAGGAGACATCCGATGCCAAGATATTGAGCAGGTCCCAATGCAATATCAAGCAGCACTTCACACATCTAATTTCAAAGTCATCTCGCTGTGCTTATAGTTGAGCTATGACCAAATAATTTAATTTGCTCAAGATTCATTGCCCTGCGGACTACATGTTGAATATGTCCTTCTCCCAAGCGTCCTCACGATGCTGGCTAGAGATGTATGTGCTATGAGTTTTGCATCGCAGCTTCATCACTCTCGGACAGAAAGACGAGAGATTTACATATACATGTGCAAATGTGAACGCGCATTTAAATGAGCACACAAACGCATTTGGCAGTACTGTAATTGAGTTAAAACTATCGTATACAACGGTTGACGTTTAATTGTAAATGTAACTAGGAATGGCACTCATGCACTTATAATGACCAGTCAAGTGAGTTTTAGCATACTGTACTGTAATATATGGACGAAATTCATCAAAATAAAACAATACTTGGTAGTAAATGAATCACTAAAAGACCTATAATATTCTGTTTAAAATATACAGATGAAGGTGTGGACCCAATTTTTTTAAAGAAGCCATTTTATGTGTAATGTGGGTTTCGAGTACAATCGTGTGTATATCAATCAATCGTATTAAAGAACCGAAAATAATCTTCAAGTGCTATGAATGGTGCTTGTGCACCACTGCCAACGTAGGCTCACCATTGATTTTGTTATGAAAGACCAATATTGTCTTATGGAGACAATGATCTGTGCATTGAAGTTGTGGAATATTTACCGCCATCTCAAAAATCATCAGTGAAAATCGTGATCACATTATTTTTACAGAACCTTCATGATATTTGATCTTTTTTTTAATCACGGAAATAAATGTATTATGTAAGAATATTGATATATAACAAAAAAGTAAAATAATTTACAGCCCTCTGTCAACTTGTTTGAAGTCCTCCCCAGCCTGGGTTGGTAATGGGGGGGTGTTTGGCCAGACGACATCACGCTGGCCAGTGGGAGTGGTGAAGACAGGGCCCAAAGGACCTGTTCAGATATCACTCACCACTGATATTACCCATAGCCGGGAACTGAACCCGGGTCACCGGGTTCGTAGCGTAGTGCACTCTCAACTGTGCCACATCTTACCCACACCAAGCCGAATTATTTATAGGGTGCAGTTAATTATTTTCAAAAAGTCTCAGTGTAACTGACTGATCGCTTGACCATCACAGAGTGTTTGGTCACTGGCTGTTTTGCTGTTGTGCAAGAGAGAGCGAGAGAGGCAGTCCCCGGGGCTGATGCTCATCACCGCAAACCCTTTCGTGGTGCTCAATCGCGGCCACAGTAGACCGGTCTGTGGCTCGCAGCCAAACTGCGAGTCGTGTCAGCTGCAATGCGTTCCGGCAACGTCGTTCATTTTGCACAATATTGCGGCACGGTGTGAGCTCACGCGTATCTCAGCAGAATCCCACTCTGCTCCTACACGTGAAGAAAATGCATTTGAAAGTCCACCGGCATATTGGCTTTCCAGACCAATATTGGAGAGCAACATTTGTGCAACTAAACAAACTCTAGAGCAGCTTGAACCTGGGTTTCATCAGCAGATGGTACTGTATTATACCAATGCAATTAGAAAGTTAAAGTAGTTATGTTATAATTGTCTTTTTATATAGCACGGTGATACAATGAATGTTACAATTCATTCTAATCGTGGTTAATCTGTACGTGAAATGTAGTTATTTTTAGGTGGAGATGGTTGATAATGCGGATACGCGTGTGAGAATCACCTGTGTGCATACAAACAAGATGCCTATAGAAGGAAGGTAGTACAGCAAGTAGGTTTCTGTCAGGCGATCTGTACAGGCTTTGAGTGTTAGCCCCTCAAACTGCTGGGTCTTCTACAATCACTTTGGCTTTCTTTGTATATGTACACTATTACAACATAAGTTTGGCTAAACAGGCTTTCACGTGTAAAATGAATAGAATATCATAGTAAGTGGTTAAGTCAACCGAAGAAGGCAGTCAAAAAACCAGGCAAGAGAAAATCTTCCCAGCTAGACGGCTACATACCATTTATAACAATTTTAATTTATAATACATTTTTTTTGTATTTTACCAGGTAAGGCCCACTGAGCTATGTATAGCTCTTTTCCAGAAGCCGCTTGGCCTCAACGAAGTGACTTATCACGTGGAAATGTAATGCAGTCACATACTCTCGACGCATGTTTCTACATGTGGAGGGAAAAACCGGAGGACCCGGATAAAAATCCACGCTGTCACGGGAAGAAACACGCAAACTCCAAATATACAACAGGCGTCAGGGTTGGGATAGAACCCACGCTCGCTGTATACCAGGCGGGGTTGTTAACATCTCGCCAACGCGGTGCTCACAGCAGCAAGCTCAGAGGCATGTTGTCATCTCCATGGGGAGCCCGCGCTCAAGAGCTGACATTTACAGCTTTTGATTAAGTGCAAGAAAATGACACAGTAAGCAACATCACATTTAGAGATTGGACTGATTAACATGGATTTGAATTACAATCAACATATTCATATTTCATAATTATTGTCCATGCACATTAGGGTATTGTTATCCAGTGATGAACACTTGTTTCAAACACTTTTCGTTATTTGGATCAGAAGCGTGCATGTCAACGCTTCTGATCCATTTGTCATAGCAGGGAATATTTACGCATTCATCAACTTAAAAAAAAAACACTTGCGAGCAATAATAGCACATTGGAAAGAGTTACAAAAACCATGCATATAAGCATGATTTGTGTTGTCTATATGTGCATTTATTAATGGCGCCAACAGATGGTCAGTCAGTCGTAAGCAGAAGAGAAGAGAAAGCT